AAAAAAAAAAAAAAAAAAAAAAAAAAAAATTGAAAGCTTCGAGTGAGCCAGATGTGGGCGATGGAAACATAGTTGAGAGGTAGCTCAAATCCCCCAACGAACGCCTCGTCCTCTCCGCCCTCTTTCTTATACTTCTCTTCCATCTCCCACGCTTCTTCTTCGCCCTCTCTAACAGTTCATTTTCATTTCTCCAATGGCGTCCTCGTTCCTCTCTCGAGCTGCTCTCTCCGGCAATACCACCGCCATTTCATTTTCCTTCTCTTCTTCCATCTCTTCTCCTCTCCCATGGAGCTCTTCCCGTTCATACACCTCCTTTCCCGCTAATTCTCGTCGGAGGATTCCTGTCATTCAATCCAAGATCCGCGAGATTTTCATGCCTGCCCTAAGCTCTACCATGACTGAGGGAAAGATTGTTTCGTGGGTCAAATCTGAAGGGGACGTTCTATCCAAAGGAGAGAGCGTCGTCGTCGTGGAGTCTGACAAGGCGGATATGGATGTGGAGACTTTTTATGATGGAATTCTCGCTGCTATTGTTATTGGAGAGGGTGAAACTGCCCCTGTTGGAGCTCCGATTGGTTTATTGGCCGAGACTGAAGAGGAAGTCGCTGAGGCTAAGGCTAAAGCCGCGTCAAAATCCGCGTCTACTCCTTCGACTCCTGCTGCTGCTGTTTCTCCCTCTCCTCCGCCTCCTTCTTCTAGTCCTGCTCCGGCGACATCTCAGCCATCGCCTCCGCCGCCCATGGCTGCGTCGGATGGACCAAGGAAGACTGTGGCTACCCCTCAGGCGAAGAAGCTAGCCAAACAGCACAAGGTGGATATTGGATCGATAACCGGTACTGGTCCATTTGGTCGAATTACGCCGGCGGATGTGGAGGCCGCAGCAGGAATTGCCCCTTCGAAGCCTGCTGTAAGCAATGTGGCTTCACCCGTGGCTTCTGAGACTGCTTCAGTGGCTGCCGCTGCTCCAGCGAAAGCCGCTGCAGCTCCTTCCAACTTGCCTCCTCCAGTTCCGGGCTCAACGGTTGTGCCATTCACGACAATGCAGGCGGCGGTGTCTAAGAATATGGTGGAGAGTCTCTCTGTTCCTACATTCCGAGTTGGTTATCCGGTATCCACTGATGCTCTTGATGCGCTCTATGAGAAGGTACATGAAATGTTTACACGATTTAGTTGGATTTTTTGCTTCTTTTGCATCTTTTTTGGAAACTATTGACCATCTAGTTGGGGTATTACAACGATTCAGGTGAAACCAAAGGGTGTCACAATGACTGCCCTCCTGGCCAAGGCTGCTGCAATGGCCCTCGCTCAGCATCCTGTTGTAAATGCAAGCTGTAAAGACGGTAAGAGCTTTACGTATAACAGCAACATAAATATTGCAGTAGCCGTGGCTATCAACGGTGGGTTGATAACTCCTGTTCTTCAGGATGCAGATAAGGCAAGTCGATTACATTGAGTATTAATGTCGTTGGATGTACAATGCTCGGATATAGATATTGTTTCTTTTGGGTTTCTTCTTATTTATTCATTATTCATTGCAGTTGGACCTCTACCTACTATCTCAAAAATGGAAAGAATTGGTAGAGAAAGCCAGATCCAAGCAGCTTCAGCCCAATGAGTATAATTCAGGTACCAACACTTCCTTCTCTCTCTGTTCGAGTTTGCGGGCATGAGAATTTATTTGTTGTACTTAACCTATGAGACAGAGTAAAATTGAGTTATACTGCCTGTAGGAACTTTTACTCTTTCCAATCTGGGCATGTTTGGAGTGGACAGGTTCGATGCTATACTTCCTCCTGGCCAGGTGAGTAATGAGCGTTAGGCTACTTATACATGGGCAATATGGTCTTGTTGGTCCCTTTGTGTTTTGTGTTGATTATTTCACACTACGTCAGGGAGCTATCATGGCCGTTGGAGCATCAAAGCCGACCGTTGTCACTGATGCTGATGGCTTTTTCAGCGTGAAAAGTAAAATGTTGGTGAGTTTTGTTTCTTCTAACATTTTGTTACGTTCTCATCTTTATTTATTATGAATGCTGAATTTAAGGTTAGTTAGGAACTAATTAAGCCAATAAGGCATCTAAATTACATTGAACTTTACTCATGGATCATGATCAACACAATGATTCTCATTCTATTCCAAGTTATCTACTTTAAGGGGTTTTTTGGGGTTAAGTTATGCAAGGACTGTTAACAATAGTTTAGCAGAGGAATGGAAAGCGTGGGAATAAGACCATGGCTATGCTCAAGTTTACACAGGAACTAATTTTATTTTCTCGAAAATGAACTACAAGTGTTTGGTTGATAGTAATGAGATCTGTTAGATGTGATTTTGATCTGTATCTTTTTACTATCTCATATCTACTGCTATGTTTTATATAGTAGTAACCTAGCTTGGAGAAAAGCAGAGGGTTTTGTAGAGAAGAGGTCGGATTTGTCCTTGTATCGTCCCAGGAGTCATCACTAGTGTCCAAGGAGAAGTCATTTAGCCTCTACCATTAAGATTCCTTCTGATATTCAAGTTCCATCAAGAAGAGGGAATGCCGCATTGGCTAATTAATAAAAGCAAGATGCTTTTCCAAGAAAGAGTAGAGTATGTGAAACTAGGCAGGGAAAGCCACTTGAGCTTTCCTTAAAAGTCTTCCCAAGAAAGGATTCTCTTACCCTACGAACATCGATTTTGATCCTTTTGGCCATGACCTGCTCAAGATTGGATATATATTGCCCTAACTATTTATGATTTGAAGTAATGCTTCTTTCCTTTAACTGTGGCCAACCGGATGGAAGTGTCTTTGGTGCCCTGTCCTACTTTTCTTACTGTAATATTTTTGGTTCGGTTTGTCAGTTTTGAAGCCACTGAATTTATGATTTTATGTTGGTTGATGAACTGAGGACCCTAAGGTGGGCCGACCAGCCTAATGTCGGTTGGCATACAACACACAGGCCTCAACTCATGTAACCACAAATTTCCACTTCTTTGTTTTTGAAAAATGGCCAACCAGACATAACATAGGCAAAAGTTTCTTGAATTGGATTGAAGGTGCAAAACTTGCCCCTCTGGACATTGTTAGAGATAGCTACATTCATAATGATGTTTCATATCTCCACAATGTAGAGGCTGGTAAAATTTCTCTGTTACTCTCATTCATTCCACAATTATTTTCTCTTGTTCTGGTGTGGTGTGCAAAGCTTCTTGTCTAGTGAATGCTGGCAGAAATCCTTTCTAGTGTATAGACGCCTTCTGTGAAACTGAACTGACTGGCAAATTCTGCATTTGGCAGGTGAATGTGACCGCTGATCACCGAATAGTTTATGGTGCTGACTTGGCTGCCTTCCTTCAGACCTTCGCTAAGATAGTTGAGAATCCAGAAAGCCTGACCTTGTAGAAAGTCTTCATTTGCAAGTTTCAACATCAATTAAACTGACTGCAAGAAGAACAGGCAAAATCTTTTTTTCTTTTTGGCCACGGAATGATGTAAGTTTGAGTTAAACAGAGTCCCATCGGAATACTTTTTGTGCAGGAGCCAGGAGGTCCTATGGATACTTTATTTCGTTTTACTTCAAATTTATTTTATTTCTAGAAGATTTGAAGAACAATAATGAGTTGATTTACTTCTTCTAAGTTATTGCGTACGGGAAATGTGTTGGTAGAAACTCATTGGATGAAGAAAGATTGTTTAGATGTTGGTTCTTATGCAGCTCCTTACCTTTAAACTTGTGCCTCTCTTTAGATAGTTTAAATATGTGCTTCCTGTGAATGGTCTAGTAAGCTCAATAGCTTATGTGAAATCATTTCCTTCCACTTACCGAAAATTCGCCATGTTTCTCTTGTGCTTTATACTCAAATTGAAAGACCTAAAAGCAGCAAGATTTATCTGATCTTCGGATACAATCTGACATGTTATGAATTCAAATATCTATACACAGAAAATAACACTAAACAAAATGTGTATTACAAAGAAACTTTTATGAAAGTGTTCGACATATAATGTATAATCTGTTTGAAGAGCCCTCAAAAGGCTCTTCTTTTTTTGTTTTTTTTTTTCTCCTTACCATCTCAGTTGAGATGAGCAGCTGCTTCGACAGGATAGTGAAGAATGGGTTGCCTATGGAAGGAGGTGAAAGTCACCAGTCCAAGGTGATTTTCCTAGAAATGTAAAGATTGTCAATATATTCTATGACCGGACCCGATGCATCAATATACCTTCTCATTTTCTTCTCTGCTGATTGATCTGCAATGGTGAAAGAGGTAATGTGAACTTACTTGTGCGCACAGACATAGTTAGCTATATAATTAGGAAGAGTAAGCATACTGGTCTCGTTGAGCTTTAGCAGGAGCTGCTCCCTCGTTGGAAGAGTATACATTCCAGCAGAAACTGCTGTTCTGACTGTCCAGCTGTGGTAGGGTGCACAAACTTGGGCATAAGCTGTTGAGGCCGCATCCCTTAACGAGTATTCACTAAAGATACAAGTGAGAAGCTAGTAAGTAAGTTCACCCTTTCTGAACTTCAAATAAGCTATGGCCTCTCGGTTGTCAACCTCAGCATAGCTTAACTGGTTTAAGCACAAGTATGACTAACTATATGAATTCTTAATTGTTAAGAGAGAGTTCCATGTTAGCTAATAAGGAATGATCATGAGTTTATAAGAAGGAACATCTCCGTTGGTATGAGGCATTTTGGGGGAAGTTTAAAGCAAAGTCATGAGAACTTATGCTTAAAGTGGACAATATCATGCAATTTTAGAGAGTCGTGATTCCTAACATGGTACCAGAGTTTGTCCAACTTAGTCATGTCAATAGAATCCTCAAATGTCGAACAAAGAATTGAACAAAGAATTATAGAATCCTCAAATGTCGAACAAAGAATTATAGAATCCTCAAATGTCGAACAAAGAATTATAGAATCCTCAAATGTCGAACAAAGAATTATAGAATCCTCAAATGTCGAACAAAGAATTGAACAAAGAATTATAGAATCCTCAAATGTCGAACAAAGAATTATAGAATCCTCAAATGTCGAACAAAGAATTATAGAATCCTCAAATGTCGAACAAAGAATTGAACAAAGAATTATAGAATCCTCAAATGTCGAACAAAGAATTATAGAATCCTCAAATGTCGAACAAAGAATTATAGAATCCTCAAATGTCGAACAAAGAATTATAGAATCCTCAAATGTCGAACAAAGAATTATAGAATCCGAATTATAGAATCCTCAAATGTCGAACAAAGAATTATGAGCCTCAAAGGTATAGTAAAAAATGATTAAAGTGTCAGGGTATATTTTGTTGAAGGGCTTCAGAGGAGAGCCTTGATCAAGGGAGAGGCTGTTCAAGAGCTCAATAGGCCTCATGGGAGGCTTTCGAGGGAAGAATTGTTGAGAATTGTTGAGAGAAACTCCTACATTGGCTAATTTAAGGAATGATCATGATTTTAGTAAGGAATTCTCCACGCACGTGGCCTTTTGGGAAAGTATACATTTTGGAAAATCACATTTTTGGGAAGCTCAAAACAAAGTCACGAAAGCCCACGCTGAAAGTAGAGGAAAGTGGACAATATCATAACATTGTAGATGTTTGTGATTCCAACATCAATTACCCGAGATCTCGAAATTTATTTAAAAGAACAAATTAAGATTTATTTACCCTCTGTTTGGAATAAAGAAAGTTGGAAATGATTTTCAATTTTTAATCTCGTTAGGAACTTGTTCGCTCGTTCATTTGTCCAAAAACATTCAACAATTTTTGATGAGCTTCGGAGAACCATTGACAACAAAGGAAATGATCATTCCTCGCTCACTTCAGACATTAGTCCTTCCAAAAACCAAAATGAACACAACCAACCAACCAACCAGCAAAAGAAATGGCAGGGGCATCGAAACAAGAACACAATTCCCATCTTGATTGCAGAAAGTAAGAGAAAAAGAGGCCATAACTTACTCAGTGGACATGAACTGTTCAAACAGAGCTCTAATAAGGTCCAATCCTTGTCTAACTCGACGCAGATTGCGAGAATGGCTTCCGGGTGTCTTAACTGTGTCATTTGCAACATCAGCATCAAGTATTGTAGGCACAGTCACGTGCTTCTTGGAAGCTTCCGCAAGATCGTGAACCTGAAACAACAAACCATCAAAAGGGGTTCATTCCAATTCCATTTTGATAATTCCCAACATCTCTCATCCATTTTTAGGTAAAGAAAAACGAAATAGAAGACGGAAGAATTGGAGGAATATAACCTTGGAGACATACTCTAACTCAGCGAATTTGAAGGCGAGGCCAAGGGAACTGAAAAGCACAGAGACCAGAGAACAAGCATCACAGAGCATATCCAATCGGAGTTCTTCAGAGGAATCCTTCAAAGAAACCACTAATTTGGCAAGCAATTCGAAGGACTCGGCTATGGCGGTAAGAGGGGACGCAACATTGTCCATTTTTATGAGCCCTCAAAATCCACCGCCACACCCAACACCATTATACGCAAAGTCTTCACCAAGTCATCGGAAATTCCAGAGCATTGGAGACTGAGAGAAGAAAGTAACGAGAACCCAGTTCGAAATTTGGAGGTATTGAAAAGAAATTCGAGTTTTCCCCCCTTCGTCTTCTGTGCAGAGCAGAATGTGTAACTGAAACGGGAGATTTGAATGAATGTTCGGTCTTATTTTTACATTTATTTCGTGGGTTTGGGAAGTTGGGAAGTTCGCTACGGATGCGGTTTGTCCAACAGAAAATTGAAAGATTTGAAGGGATGAACAGAGGAGAAGAGAGAGAGAAGAGAGAGAAAGTGGTGTATGGTGCAATGAAGGTGTGCAGTGCCCCTAATTTCGCGCCATTTCAGTTGGAGAGCTTCCATGGTGAATTATCAGCGGCACGTCTCACACCCCTTTTCTTTCTATCTTTCTATTTTCTTTCCATCTTTCTATTTTCTTTCCATCTTTCTATTTTCTTTCCATCTTTCTATTTTCTTTCCATCTTTCTATTTTCTTTCCATCATACAAAACTTCTAAAATTGTAACAAATCTTAAGTTTAAAATAAAAAATTAAAGAACGCTGTACTTGACAACCATTATAAATTGTTTTAATCATATTCCTAATATTATAAAATTACATCCATATTTGTACCGGGTTGAATAGAAATAAAGGACGACCATCCAAAACTTTTGACTAAATCAATAAAAATATTGTGTTTTATACTTTGTCTAAAAAAATATCATTAACTTTCAAAGTTCTAATAATTCTTACACTTCCACTCTTCAAATAGTCTGAATAATACTCTTAAATTTTAAAAATTGTTTAAAATATACAATTATGTTTTAAAAAAAATGTCCTTAAACTTTCTAAAGAGTTAAAAAGAAAAAAAAGACCGAGCTTTCAAAATTTTCATTAATTCTCTTCCAATTTTTTTTAAAACTAAAAAAAAAAAAAAAAATTATGTGTATAAAAATTTAAAGAGATTAATACTACTTTCATTTTTACTAATATAAATATTTTTGAACTATTTTCTTTAAAAAAAAAAAAAAATTAGGGTATTAGTGAAATTTCGAAATTTAAATAGTATTTTTCAAACATTTTTAAAGTTGAAAATAAAATAGGATAAAATAAATTGATGAGATACTAATTTTTTTTTATTTGTAAATATATATTTTTAGCCCTATTTAATATATTAATATTATTTTATATATTATGATTTATTGAAATTTATATTTTAAGGACAAATTATAGATATTTTTATTAAACTCAAATATCATCTTTGAACTACAACAAAAATGATCAACAAGACTTTCACCTTTACAACCAGAATTTGAAAGCAATGAATAAAATAATAAATCAAAGATGTAATTAAAATAAACAATAAATTAAAGATGTAATTAAAATAAAGGTTAGTATAATATCGAGAGTATGCAAGTTTTTCAACATAAGATTAGATGATTCATTATGCTCCTCAATCGACGTTCATTAATAAAAGATCACTGGATCAAGATTTAATGACATTTTTGTAACGTTCAGCTAAAGAAACAAACGTGCCTGACTTCATCTATACCTTGGAAACTCTCCAGTGTGAAATTTACAGATAATAAGACAGTGACAACATAACGCATTGAATTTTCAATCACAACAGAACACGTCTGATCGATCCTTAAGCCTAAAGGGAACAGCACTGACAAAATAATATAGACTAAAAGAAGTCGAATTCCAGTTGAAGTATAGAAATTACATTGACACAAGCCTCGAAGTATTGGGTTGCGAATTAAAATAAAATAAAAATTAAAAAAAAAAAAAGGATAAAACGCATCTTCACATCTATGTTCACAGCAAGCACAATTCACAATGTTGCCAAAGGCGAAAAGAAAGACAGAGATCGGAGGGGAGCACAACGGATAAATACAGATTCTTTTTGATGTTGGATTGGCTGTCTTCATATATATATATATATATATATATATATATTCCTTTTTGGGGTTTATTAAAATCGGCAGGAGAATGGACTAATTCTGATTACCCTCAAATTCGTGAATATGATCTAAAAGATAGTTGGCAGCCATTTCCTCGTTCTTGTTGCAGGCGAAGAAAACCTCCACTACTAGAGCTCTGTCGAAGCCCAAATCCTCAAGCTGTTTGGAAGGAAGACAGATGACCACAATATAGTTAATCATAAAAGATCTAATGAATCCCATTGCCTTTATTTTTATGTTAAATTAACTTTCAATTGTGTCCAAATTGATTGATGTTTTTAAAATTTCTAGACCTACTAGATATAAAACTGGAAGTTTAGAGTCACTTCAAACATAAAATTCAAATTTTTATTTTAATATATCGATTAACTTTTAAATTATTGAATATTTCAAGGAACTACTAAACCTAAAAATTGACCATTCAAGAATCAATTAAAAGTTGCTAAATCAAGAAGTCATATGATAATGTATAAGGTAAACTAACCCGTTGAATGGCTTCACGCTCCTCCGGGGTTACAGTTATAGCCTGCGGCATAGCCTCAGCAAGCTGCCCAAGTATATTCCTGAACAAGTTTTTGGATATTATTATAATCCATCAACTTCCACCATTGGTTCAAAGTCAGAAGTGGGGAAAAAAGATTTACCCTTCTCCTTCAAGGGGCTCATTAATCAAGCGGAGGAAGTCAGGTTGATGATCTTGAATAAGCCTAATCAACTGAGGATTTTGTTTACCCAACTCTTGAAGCATAGGCTAAAACAAAATCAAAGAAATGGGGCCTTTATAAAATGAAGTAATGAACCTCACGTTTAGAAAAAAGTGTCAATTGCAGTAGATGAAGAACCTGGAGTATCTGAGGATTAGCTCGCACCATTGCTCGCAAAGCTTGGAACTGAGACAGGAAAGAACACATTTTCAGAGGCGGGCATAATATGAAGTGAATCTGTCGGTTTGGGAGGAGGAGGAGAGAGAGACCTGAGGACTATTTCGTAGAAAATCAAGACTGCCGGAACCAACAGCTCCGGAAGATATATTAGGCAAACCCTGAAGTAAAAAAAAAAAAAAAGAGGTTCAAACCCTGAAGTAAAAGAAAAAAAAAAAAAAAAAAGGTTCATAAACTTTCAAGTTTTGAAAATAACCTATAAAATTTCTCGATCATTTTTTCCTAGCAAACTTGTAATATTAAAACGAACCTGTCAAGTTGCTTAATTTTTCTTTTCCTACCTGAGGAAAGAGATCTAATGGATTAGCATTTGGGCCAGTTGACGTCACAGATGCAGGCTGGGCTGGCTGTGCAGGTTGGGCTGGCTGTGCAGGTTGGGCTGAAGGGTTGGTCGCTTGCACAGTAGACGGAACTCCAGCAGCAGGTGGGGTTTCAAGTTGTTCAGGTATTCCCTACATATAATAAGATAATTTTGTTCATACAATACATTCTAAATCAATTAAGCTAGCAGAGATAAAAGTATGACCATTCATAATTCATTCACTAATAAGGAACATCAACCAATAGTAATTCCAGGTTCCAAGTACAATTACAAGTTCAAGGTCCACTCCTCAACTGAAAGAAAGCCTCAAAAGAGAACTTGCTAAAATATGTTGAGACGAGAATAACAGTAGAACCGAAAAAGAATTAAAATCTGGACTTACAGAATAAAGGTAATCAACAGCCCTTTCTGGATTATTGTAAGCAGCACGAAGAGCTCGAACAACAGTGTCTCTGTCCCAAATCCCTCCGCCCATGAGAAGAATTTGTTGGATAGTGTCCTCCAAGTTACTACCAGCAACCAGGTTAGAAGCTGCTTGGCTGTAGACATCGGATTCTGCCCTGTGTTTCATAATGTGTAATACAGGAGATTTAGAAAACTTGAAATAGAGAGAAAGGAGCCCTTGCAAAGAATACGAAAAACCATCAAGGGCAGAAAATTCCTCACAAAACAGTGGTTGCAGGAACTGCAGCTGGAGACGGAGCTGGAGCTGGAGCCAGAGCCGGAGGAGCGGGAGGAGTAGAGTCGGTAACAGTAGCAGGCCTGAAATAAAGATTATTGACATAATCGTAAATGCTCCCAGAACAATTATTCTGGAAAATGAAGTGGAAGACATAGAAGTGAATTTAAACTCACGGTGCTGACGTTGGTAGAGGAACTTCCGACGTTGACACTGGAGTGGCAGCAGGTGCAGGGGCAGTGTTCTGTGGTGCCTGCAAGTTAGTCATATCATACTATAAATCCAATTTCTCTTTATTTCCTTTTTCACAAGAAAATTAGTCGAAAAAATAATATTTTATGCGAATAAATAACACAATTGAAGAACACTGCTTTAACTCCAAAGGATTGGCAACAGAAATCAAACATCATGAATGGTTTGTATATTGATTATTTTGAGATAACATGTACAACTATTTTTGTACCATCAATATCTTTTTTTTTTTTTAAAAAAAAAAAACATTGACTTCAGAGAATTATGAAGAAATGAAAAACCATTTTGTCAATTATATAAATACTTGAAGACAAATTTATGCATCCACTACTTTAAGCAATATATATTAGTTTTTTGTTAACTACAGAGAATTAGAGTAACTGATAAATTCATTCAATAGTGTGAAAATGACCAACCACTTCGAGGGACAGGTACAACTATTGGCTCACAAAAGAATACAAACCACCAAAATTAAGTACTAAAAAGCTTATACAAGAATTGATATTAGCATCCAATAAACTCGGTGGAAAAAACAGAAGGGGAAAAGATGGAAAAAAGTGAATTACAACATTTAAAACATTCAAAGACACATTGAAACTGTCACCACCATTACCACTTGCCAGTAAAGCTTATAATTATGCTTACCTTCGATACTGGCGCAGCTTGTGTGGTAGAAGATGTCGCACCCGATGAACTTTTATTCTACAAACAAAAAGTAAATAAAAAAAACAAAACAATCATTTGAGCAAAACAAAACAGAGAAAAAAAAAACGGTCATGAAGAGAAATAAACAAAAGGTTTCACACTTTAGCCCATCAATAAAAGTTGCAATATGATCTTGTACAACTAAACACATCAAGATTTTTGTCGTCACTTCAAATTCAAGTGCAGACAACAGGAACAGTGCTGTGCAACTTAGTAACAAACAATACAAAAGAAGGCAGAAACACTCTCTTCTGTAGTGCTGACACTTCCCAGCACTACACTACCAATTTGTAAGCCTCCATCTCAAGGCAAGGTAGTATACAGCGTTATCAAGACAACTCTCCCAATCAATAGTGGTAAACCATCTTCCCTCTTCATCAAACTAAGAGAGCAAGTACAGTCAAGGAATGAATACTACACGTTTCCTGACAAAATTTCTCTAATAATGACAAAAATAGTTGGGCATAGACACTCAAAGGGAA